TTTTTTTTTTTGCTTAAATTTAATAAAAAAACGAACAGTATAAAATGTATCAGTACTCGAGAAGTAAAAATTTGGTCAACTTTCTTAGCGAAGTCTCTTTTTGTTTGTTTTTAAAGAATTGGAAAAAAACAAAATCAGTGAGAATACATTCAAAGCGGATGGCTCAACTGTTTGTTGTGAAGTTAAAATGGAGAAAAAACTGAAGAAGTTACTTTCTTTCATTTATATAATAAAAAGCCTTTGAGATGGAATTCTTAATGAAAATTTTATCTGCTTTTTCAGATTAGCTTCAAACCACTGCCTATTGCCGTACTTAAACACTTCAAACGGATTTCATGCTGCATACTTTAAATATACCGATCCATTAAAAACTGATTAGTTATTCTGGCTACAACCCGTTCCCTTCTTCTTCTTCTGCTGTTGCTGCTGCTGCTAATTTGTTGTTATCGTTGCTGTTTTTGTTGTTGTTAATAATGGTGATGCTGATGGTGATGATGAAAAGTTGGTGCTGCTGTTGCTTGCCGCTAGTGATAGTTATGGTGACTGTGTTCGTTAAATTGACGACGATTCAAAAATAAATAGCCAATATATTGTTTGCACGTTGGTGTTTTCGTAAGAAAAAAAAAAAATATTCCGCACGAAAAAAATTATTGTAGTTGTGTCTTTAAAATGTAAACAAAATTTCTTATATTACAGCATAATAGGGGATGTAAATACTGACTTTTAAAATAGTGAATTTACGTTCCTTTTAATGACAATTTTTTACAATAATTGCAGACTTCAATTAACTTTTGGAAAGCAAAAACGAGAAAAAACACGAAAAAAGTGGGCATAATACTACTGCTCAACTTTTTAATTGTCTTTCTGATACCCTTAAAAACATCAATATCTAATTGTATGTAAGCAGTTTTCGTAGTGCTGCGATCAAAAATCAACTCATCAACTTTTGCTTCACCAACAACACTAACAAAAACCAAGGTGACCTTTGTCACCGCTATCTCAGACCGCTGTAATCAACTAGCAGCTGCCTATGCATAGAATCGCGCCTCAACGATACTGCTCTTCCTGCTGCTCGTCCTTGGATACGGTTGTTGTTGTTGGCCTCGACGGCCAGCAGCAACCGAGCGAAGCGGCAGCGCTGGAGACTGCAGGGCGTAAACCTTTAACTGAGCGGGCAGTTCCATGCAATAGCGCATAATGCTCTCGAAGGAGATTTGCTGGTATTCCTGTACGACGGTTGCTGCATTGTTGGCAGCGTTTATTCGCCGTTGGCCTTTAACACTTACTGACTGGAAGCTATTATGACTTCTGGGGTAAGAGGTATTTCGGCTGGCAGCGACTTCAATTTGTAGTATTTTTTTTGCTGTCAGAGTCCTCTCAAAAAAAAAAA